TTGTACATAAAAATTAGTATTTTTCAATTTTATGAAATTTTTAGTGTATTTTCTATTAAATTTTATGTGTATTTGTACGAAATTTAATGCATGTGAATGCATTATATTTAAATTATTTATACGTAATGTTCATTTTTATTAATAACATTAAATATTAATGTATCTGCTTGAAATTTATTTTGATCGTTATACGTGAAAGTAAATTTTTTTTTTTAACAATATATGTATATTGCAAGTTTTATTCTAATGTACGTATATTGAAAAAAATTATGTGATGTATCAACAGTATTATTTTAATTTAAAAAAATTTTATTAATTTAATAACATTATTAATGAAACAAATACGTGATTTTGTTTAAATAAAAAATTTTATTTGTTTCATTAACGGCTGTTCCTTTTTCGGATAAACTATATAATAATTTATCTACTGAATAAACAGAAGAGTAAAAAAAGTAAGAGAGTAAGAGAATAACAGAGAATGACAAAAAGTTTATAAAAGGTGAAAGTCTAGTCTTATTTAAGTCTACTTTTATTGAAACAAAAAAAATAAACAAAATTATTTTTAATTAAAATAATGCTTATGAGTGAAAAATGTTGTATATTCGAGGCATTCAAGGCATTTATGATATTACCACTTTGTAATTTTAATTGTAATATTATTATTCCAGTTTCGATTTGGGATTATTTCAAAACCGACAAATAATCGACGCGCAGTTTGCTTAAACAGAAAATTGTTAAAGATAAAATTGCAAGAAATATTATTAGCTATGAAACCTCGCCTTGATCGAACATGGTATTTTTCACTTATGTTTAATTTCATCAATTGATTTTTACTTGATTTTGTTAAAATAACGCTGTTGACGTAATAACATTATTTGTTTTTCAATATAACTGTCTTATATCCATTTCTATGTAGATCAACTTTTAATCTTAAAATTTATTTTAAGTTAGAATAAACTAAAATATGTTAAAATATGTTAACATATTTTTTATCTTCCTGAATTTCCTAGTCAGACCTAAAATTGGTTTGAAATTTTTAGACGTTCTAAAATCAATCATATTTTAAACAGATTGTTTGAGTTATCTTTTAATAATCTTTCTCTGTCTCTTTGCGTCTCAATTTCATTTCATACTGTGATTTGCGTAGGAATGGACGATGTGCGAATAATTTTCACAAAGTTTCACAACACTCTTCTACAACACGCCGGAAGCGCGAATATATTGCAGCCAGTATAATATAATTGCATAAAGGAGAAACCTCGGTTTTGATTTCATTAAGAAAACCGTTATCTGATATGGATTCTAACGCGCAAAAAGACTAATTAAAAAAAAAGGAAAAAATTTTTCAGTTTTAAGTAAAATTACGTTATTAGTTATGGCACGCGTTAAATATGCACATTTCTTTCGCGATTGATATAACATAGAAAAATTAGCGCTAATATAGAAAAAGCTGAATTATATAATTCAAGTTACACGAATTTCCACATTATGTTATGCGAAATAATTACGAACGGGTTTAGTATTGTTCTTTCTACTCGTAATATTAAAAGTATTATAATATATAAAATATATAAAATAATCAGATTTAAATATTCAGGATTTAAAAATATAAGAATTTTAAGGCAAATTTTAAATTAATTTTAAGGCAAAATAAAAAATGACGAAGAATGTATCTTCAGTCTTTCTTTTATCAAAAAACTTGATTCTTTTATTCAAGATTTATCAATAACTTGATAAAAAAATAAATAAATATCAATTACTTACTATTTCGAAGCATCCAAAGCATTCAGCACTAGATTATAGACAGTTTCAACGAGTCGTGTATAATATGGTGGTTCAAATAGATGCATCGACGTCATCTGGTTTTAATCGTCGTTTTCTGCAACTCGCGTATCGTCTGTAAGCAAAAAAGATTTATCTTGTTTGAAAGATTTTTGTCTAAGTTTGTCTAAGCGGCGGGCAAAAAGCTTGCTCGGTAATTTCGCGGTTATTCAGTCGCGTGTTTAAGCATTCCTTATTCGGTTCCTTATTGCATCCCTATTGTCCTCGTAACGTGCTCTCTCTTGCCTACCTATCTGTGGGTTTATTGCATATGCACGTTCTAAGCGCTTCCTGAATTAGTTATAAAGAATTCCCCCGACCCTTCTTCCTTTGACCGTATTACACAAAATCGATGTGCAAGAAGGCCTGAATATCGTGACGCAGCTTCTTTGTAAACGTCATCACACGCTCGCTATTTTAGACGTCATTACGTCAAAGAAGATGCAATACTTTCATTACGCTGATTACACCGGTTATACACGTTAACAATTTATGACGTAGACATAAGGCGACGTAATAAACGTTCCAAGTTTATCCCATTCAGAAGAGATTTTTAATGAAATCTCCTATGATGCTTCGCGTAACACAATAAAAGGTCCTCTACATAGAAGTCGTAAACGGTGGAATTCTAAGTCGTAGGAAACTGACCAATTCTAATGAGTATTCTTCTTATATTTGATTGTGATTGATTGGTTTCTTACGACTTAAGACTCCACAATCGTCTATAACTTTTATGTAGAGGATCCCCTTAATGCTTTAAAACTCAATAATACATTTTTTTTGTTATATAATTGAACATATAAAAAAAGAATCATGATTGTATTTATAAGAAAAATAACAATTTCCAATTCCAATTTATAGAAGAATGCAATATCCTTTCAATGCAATATATCGATACAATGAGTGCAAAAAATATTTGTACAGAGATTTTTTTAAAAAAACATTTTTAAAAAGCACATTAATTGGCAATTTATTGACAATAAAATAGACTGTATATTTTTCAAAATTATTTTATCTAAAAAATATAATAAATAAAAATATAATAATAAAAATATTATGTATAATAATAAAAATATTAAATTATATTATTTATATAAATTGTGTTATTAGATGCACAAAAAGTACAGTCGAGAAATTTACCATCCAAGGAATATGCGAAATTCTTTTGTTTATTTTAGGATAAAACATATTCATAAAATTGCTAATTAATATTTATTTTCTACATAAGGTTGTTTTATAAAAAAATATACTTTTACACTCACTGTATCTGATCTTCGATTATATAAATTTCCTTAGTATGCAATAATTATTCTCTTAAGTATTGTATTACCATTGTGCGGTTTACTTACTACTTTACTTTTACTTACTACTTTATTGCGTATCTCAATATGACACAAACGATAAATAACATCGAAAAGAAAGATAAGTACCTTTTTGGCATCGTTCAATGTTGTGGGAACATAGTGAGCATTGATCGCTTGCGCCATAGTACAGTAGTCGCGATACAAAATGTATTGATCCTTCAACCAATGCCTAATCGTGAAAACTCTCTCCCGGAACTGATCGTTTAGCTTCGATTTCAAGTCGTCTACATCTGGAAAAAAGGCGTTCCATATTTTCAACATGCGTGAATATAAAATCGAGAATATATTTAAGAATATATTTTGAATACATTTGAATGCGTTTGTACATAATGCCTTTATTTAAATGCAAAATGAATTTAATGCATTCGTCATACGACTTTATACCGCTATCGGTCTGTACGTTCTCATTGTTTCGATACAATGCGGATTCCTTCTATTCATTGCTAGAGTCGCAATTGTCGGCGCATTCGCCGCGGCACGACTCGCCACTTCGGGCGCGTTCATTAAAATGACATAAATCGCGAAATAAATCAAAAAGAAAAAAACATGAAATGTAAACGTAAAATCTTTAATTAAAGATAAACACACAAACAATATAATAATTTATTTATCGTTGAGAAATGAAATAGTTTTTTTATTCAAACTAGAAAGCGGACATTAATAATTGATATCATAAACATCAAGAAATATCTATAAAAAGATAGATATATAAAAGATTTCTTTACTTAAATTATTTAATTAATTTATTACATAATTTTAAAAGATCGATATGAAGAAAAACATATTAAAAAATAATTACAGTTGCATTACAGTTACATTAGTTACGTCATTTTGTAAAATAATAGATAATACATTGATATTGGGACTATGATTCTTCATATTTATTCCATCTGATAACGGATGATTACTGACATCATAAAAGATACGAAGGATAGTCTATTCTAAGCGCTAATGAATATTTAAATGATATAAGTGACAAAAAACTTATAGGTTTTCTGATTGTTAGTATTGAAGGACATAAATATAAAGAAGAAATTGTAATAATTATAAAATTGTAATGTGCAATGTATATGATTATATAAAATTTACTGAGGAGAATCACATTAAAAATTAAAACTATTTGAAACTATTTGAAATTATTTTATCCTATGACTTTGATTTATAATAATAGTGAATGACAAATAGCTTGGATCGAATAGTCCATTTTTTCTTGTATATATTTGAATATATTTATTAGAGCTCTTTATTAAATTATTAACTTCTTTGTTTAAATTTATAAATTACCAGGTTGCGTAAATTCAGCAATCTTCGGAAATTCCAAAGGCTTGAAATAGCTTCCAGTAAAATCCGATTCTAGTCTTAAGTTCTTCAATTTGTGTAGGTATTTCTGGAGGTCTTCTCGTTCTTGCTGCAGTTG